CTGGAACCCCCGGGCGCTGCGGGTCTGGGGGAAGGGGCTCCCGGCAGGAGCCGTGAGCCGCAGGGGGCACCCTGCTGTGCGAGCACAGGGCACCCAACGGCAAGATAGACTGCAGACAGGGTATCTCCGAGGTGCTTTCCGTGCCAGTGTCCTTCGAGTCCCCGCGTGCCATCACGGAGCTCGCAGCAGAGCAGCAAAATGCCCCGGGGGAAGTAGCGCGGGTTGGCCAGGAGCAAAACTGGCGTCCTGTCACCTTCTGACGTCTCTGCTCTCACCTGACCCCCGGCAGTCACTGGCTTCGTGGCTTTCAGGAGGTGAGAGCACTCACAAAGAGAGGGGGGTACACCTGGGCTGGAAGACGCAGACACTGACACGTCACACATGACAGTGTTTTAGGATTGGAAATGACACAGAGAAGTCCATCTCCACATGCTGCAGTTCAGTTTGGCCACAGCATCAGGATTAACACAACCTCTGTGAAAGACACAAAAATTGTGTCTTTACCCCTAAGTAGAAACACCCTTAGTACCTGACAGTCTTTGGTGCCAGTGATAAATCAGAGGGAACAGTTGCTCTGTGACTTGTGATCACAAAGTTTGGGGTCTGGCATCTAACCATGACAAATTATGTCCAAATTTAGCTGTACCTACTTGTAGCCACTGCTGAATTCAGTGAGACGTGGAACTACCTTCAAGTTCAAACTTCACTGTGACAGAGGTTCTCCAAATGATTGATGCACTTAACCCATTATTGGCTTTATTAATGTGAAGGAATATAGTATGTCTTCAATGCTCACATGCAGAGTTAAGGAAAGGCTGAAATCATTACAGATTAATTTAACAGTATGATTATCCACATTAATGCATCAGTATGCCTTTAAGTTATGGCTAAGAAAATGTATTAGCCAGGCCATGACAAATAAAGAATAGAAAACACTTTTTCCAAGTGGTTGTTATAAATTGCCAAAATGTATACCTTTAACATGTAAAACTGATTTCTTCATTCTTGTATCATTTTTCCATTTGACTGAAAGCATTAAACATTACTGATCAACAGAGTCTTGCTGAATGTGCTTTTGTTTTCTGACTTACAAAACAACATGCTGTATATATTTCTATCATGTATCATTCATGAGGGCCAAGGTTAAAAGAGTCTTTACAGTTTGGTAATTTCTCAATTCAGCCACAAAATGTAACTGTCTCTGGCTAGATCTATAAAGACTGTACAAGGTAGCCATGACAGATAAAGCTGTAGTTAAAAGTCAAAGCCCTTCTAGATTCCTGCCTTTAGCTGTTAATTCTGCTAAAGGGCAAAACAAAACAAAACAAAAAACCCCCCGAAACATAGTTTTTTTAATTCTAAAATGTAGTCACGCATATCAGAATCGACATAAGATTATCTTCCAGGAAGCACAGTGCTGCTCTCTCCTCTCCTATTTCAGCTTCCCACAGACTCAGTTTAGCAAGAGCCTTTGGTCTTCCAATACTGACTTTACTTCATGACAAAATAGTCTTAAATTACATATTGCAAATCATGTAACACAA